GTTACTGTTCTTTGTTCTTTGTCTTTTTGTTTTTTCTTAAGTGATTTAAGTATGTGCTGTGTTGTCTCTTCATTTTCATTGCTGTTAATGGGAAATTTGTTGTCTGTTATTATGTTTTGTTTTCTGTAGATATACGATGACATTTCCCCCTCTCCAATTGCATTTAGATTTTATTTTTTATCATGAATTTTGACCAATTTATTTATGATGAGTGCCAATGACTAACATCTGTGTTGTTTGTTGTTAGGTGCCATCGATTTGAGTACAACTAACAGTGACCCCTTGCACAAAAGATCTGAACTCTGTTTTATCCTGCACCATCCTCACATTTCCTGACACACAAGAGCCCACTGCAGCAGTCACTGTGTCAGTCCACCTTGTTGAGGGTCTTCTCTGCCAACCCTCCATCCTTCAAAGTATCATTTCCCTCAACAAGGACTAGACTCATCCTTACTCATGGTGATTTTTTTCCTTAAATAGCTGGTAATCTCCTCTCTTTATCTCTCTTTAATGAGCACACATTCAATTGGTTTTAAGCCATAAAAAACTCAAGCATCTAAATTTTTGTTAATCTGTAAAAAAACTTGAGCATTTACATTTTTGGTGTTTCCCTTCAGGAACTGTTAGCATATGGCTCTGCCAGGAGCCAGTGGATGCTACTGACCTAGAACTTCTTCAGGTCCCTTGTAGGGTCTTGTGCTTCTTCAACATTTTACAACTCTAATAATATATCAACATTCGCTCTTAGAAGTTTGTCTCAAATATGCTAACTTCTTGTAGTTTCCATTTCAGCTTGCGCTCATGCGCTGGCTTGCCTGTGCACTCTCTCACTCTTTTTCTCTTCCCCATCCCTACCTGTTTGCATGCTTCCCTCTCCTCTTCCAAGTACATCTGGAAGGCCTCTCATGGTATCTAGTGCACTATTCAGCCAGAAGCAGAAACCTGGACTTCCTATTTGATCTTTTATTGACACACTATCTACACTACCCAAACTCTAAAATCTCACTCACCCTTAGAGCTTCAACTATGATCTTCATTTTTCCTCATATTTTAAATCTCACTTTCTCAACTGCTTATTGGATATGCCCACCACATCTATCTGATTTACAGCCTATATATCTCAATTTAAAGACAATAACTTCTGCCTCCACATTATCAAAGATCTTTTACTTCCATTCACTATTTCATGGTTCCAGTTTGAAGAGATCTTAAAAGCCTATTTTACATATAGGGATATTGAGTACCAAGGTCATGAAATAACTTTTTGCTCAGTAACCAAACCAAAACCAAACCCCCTGCAGTGAGGTCAAGTCCAAGTCACAGGGACTCTATAAGACAGAGTAGAACTGTCCTATGGGGTTTCCAAGACTGTAAATCTTTACCGAAGCAGATCACTACGTCTTTTTCCTTGAAGAGTGACTGGCAGTTTCAAATCTGTAACCTTTTCAGTTATAGTTGACCACTCTAACCATTATGCAACCAGACTGTCTCTTCCACTCAGTCCTCTCGATTAATTTCCCTAAAATTGTTTCATTATCTTTCTTTCTCCTCAAACAAATGTAAGTGATTTCACAAGGTTCACAAGATTTAGCTTAGCACTGAAAGGCTGACAAAATTATTTTATCCTCAACTATTCCCATATGTGGAGCTCTGGTGACCTAGTGGTAAGAAACTCAATGGTAAGAGGTGCAGCAATCCCAAAGGCACACGGTTCAAACCCTCCAGCTGTGCCACAGGATGTATTAATCTCCTCTTGTGTCTCTGAAAACCTGCTGGAGGTTCAGCTATAGGTTAGTTCTGACTTGATGGTACAAAATAACAACATAAACAGCATTTCCCAGATACTGCACCAAGGCACTCTGGTGGTCTAGTGATAAAGTTAAGTTGCTAACCCAAAGGCAGATAGTTTGAATCCATCAGCTGCTCCTTGAGGGAAAGATGGGCAATCTCCTCCTGTATGATTTGCAGCCTCTGACAACTTTCTGGAGGATCAGCCATGAGTTGATTCTGATTCTAAAACAACGAAGAACAAACCTCATATATGAAACCCCTGCTGCAGCTGAGCAAGTCTACCATTTCAAATGTTCTTCTCCCTTACATCCTTCAAGGAGCCCTAGTGTGTAACCTAGCAGGCTGTCAACTGAAAGTTCAGCAGAGAGAATCCACCTGCTTCTCCATGGGAGAAAAATGAGGGAGGTGTCTTCCCAGAAAGGTCACATCCTGTGAAAGGCCAGGGTCATTATGAGCTGGAAACAACTTGATGGCAATGAGTTCACATTGCTCAACAGAAGACACTCATGTTTCCTCTCCATTCACTAAAATCCTACTTCTTCCTCAAAATGTGGCTGAAATATTTCTCTAGTTCCATAAAGCTGAAACTAATGCATCTATTTGAAATTGTTAGGCTTTTCTGATCTGAAAATTCCTAGAACATTTATGAAATTCTGCCTGTACCATAATTCTTTTTCTCTCTGTTTTATATCCTTTCAAAGTTTCTCCAGGCAGACAGCCGCAGTTTGGTGTTTCCCGCCATGCCTGGCACAGGGCCTGGCTGGAAGGTGCTCAGGGAAGGTGTCAGAGAGAAGTGAACACAACAGCTCCTTACCTTGGTGATGTCCGCGTGGTCTTTGAGCCCGTTGGTCATGCACCAATATCGCCACACATTCAGGGCGTACCGCGTGGCTTTGGTAGTATTTGGGCTCACTGCACTGGTACACAGATCATTCAAGTCATCATTAATATTAAACACGGGAAATTTGTTGAGCTTAGTAGAATAAGCTAGAAATAAAAACAATAAAGGCCATTAAAGTAATTTGCCATTCCCTTCTTCTGTAGAGAAGTGCATCTTGGATTCATGTTAAATAACAACAAATTCTTAACAAAAGATAAAATTTGTCTCAAGTATACACAACTCAGAAGAAATAAAGTAAGGAAAAATACTGCCACCATGGAATCAATGCAACTTCCTTGAAGTTAGTCCCCAAAATTCTGCCACATGTACTGATTGATGTACTAATGCAGACCTTGTAATACTGGTGGGGGTGGAGAAGGAACACAGAGAACCCTTTATCAGTGTTCTGTCTAAATTGTTTTAGACAATTTAAATCTAAAATTGTGATTTTTTTAATTAGGGAAAAAATATTACGCATACTAATAACGTCAATAATAGGGCAAAAGAAGGAAGAAAAGTTACACATCCTTTCTCTATCTTTTCAACATGAAGAACTATCATTCCTCTGTAATATAGAACCTCAAACGTCTTATGTGTCACCTCGGTCAACCTAGAATCAAATGGTGGTGCATATCTCTTTAATTTTCCTCACAAAGAAAGAAAGAAATCCTGAATCTATTACCAAGCTAGCCAACAACTGGCTTAGAATCAGAATGGAAATTTAAGTGAGAAAAAATATTATGAGAAAGAGGAAAAGAACATTCCAGAAGGCCTGATATATTCTCAGAGGACAAAGGGCAGATTTTAAAAGGCCAAAATGAGTTCAGATGAAAATGAGTTTTCCTCAATGTGACCACTCCAAGTGCTGCTTGCTAAGGAGATAGCCAAGTCCAAACCATTAACTTTTTACACTGTCATCTATTAACACCAGGCCTAATGTATTTACAGTCAATTTGGTCTTGGATACAAAAAGAACTATCAAAGCAGACTAGGTAATTGCCTCCCTCAAAGTTGGTCAGTCTGTATGTTTTTCAATGGTGTTGACCCTTTGTGCACTGGTTGAGGCTAAAAAAAAAGGTAAGATATTTACCAAGGTGACTTGCAAACATGCTTTACTATATCTAACTCACCTCACCTTTTGTTTCTCCCACTGAAGATCCTCCAGCACTCACAGGTACTCAGTGCACATGCCCGTACCAGACCATCTCTAGACTTGGCCCTAGGACAATCCCCAGGATCTAAGTGTCAATCAGATATTGCTCTTTATTCAAGTCTAATTCAAGGCTCCTTTCTACAAAATCCTTCCCCACACTAACTCAACATACTACTCTCTCCCTGTAGTTGTCTCACATTTGTTTCACTATTTTTAATTAGGAATGTGTTCTATTGTGATAGGAAAGTTTTTTAAATAGATACATGCCATGATCTCTGCAATCACTTGCTATGCATCAGAGAGCTGGACAATGATTAGGGATGATAGAAGGAGAATTGATGCCTCTGAGCTGTGGTGCTGGAGAAGAATGTTGAATATACCACGGACTGCTAAGAAAATGAACAGGTTCATCCTGGAGAGGGTGAAGCCAGGCTGCTCCTTGGAGGCAAGGATTCTGAAGCTTCATCTGACATACTTTGGACATGTTTTAAGGAGGGACCAGTTCTTGGAAACAGACATCATGCTTGGGAGGGTAGAGGGACAGGGCAGGAGGGGAAGACCCTCTATGAGGTGGACTGATTCAGTGACTGGGGTAAATGGGGTTGGGTGTGTCAGAGACAGTGAGATTGGCACAGGATGGAGCAGGGTTTAGGCCTGTTGTACACAGGCTCACTATGAGTTATAGGCAACTCGATGAACATAACAACAATATGTTCTTTATAGGCAATGATTGTATTTTCACCTAAGATAGGTATCTTCACCTCTTCATCTAGACAGATACCTTCACAAAACCACAGAGGTGGAAGCAGATTAGGGTTTGGTCCTGGGTGCATTTGACTCCCTGTTCTAGCCACTCCAACAAAGAAGTCAAGTATTACAGGAAAAAGTTCTTAGTAAAGAATGAAATGTAGATTATTAGCCACTGATGCATATGGAAAGTATGTTGTTAGATGGTGCTGAGTCACAATAACAAAGACCTGGAAACAATCTAAGTGCCCATCAACAAATGAATGGACAGAGAAGCTGTGGTATATTCATAAAATAGAATACTACACTGCATTGAAAAACAAGGAATTAATGAAATATTATCCAAAATGGATGACCATGGAGGACATTAAATAGCGGTTGTGGGGGAGAATGAGAAAGATGGAATCAAGTATGTATACTGCATTGAAACAGATGAGAGGGCGAGAAAACTGTTTAAAAGGTATATATGATTAGGTATTATTTTTTTATATTATTATTCAATTTTATTAGTTTTAATGAACATTTACAGGGATTTTGGGTTTTCATTCCTTCATTGCTGCACCATTCTCTCTACCCTCCTCC